CCCGGCATACAGAAAAACGTGCAGAAAATGCCAGAAAAAAAATCACTTCGCGTCACAGTGCTCAACAAGAATAGATGCAAGGAAAAACAAAAAGGTAGATGCGCTTAATAACAATTCCGAAATGGATGAAACATTATATGTGTGAACACTGACTACTAACATTGAAGAAGACTGGGTTGAATCAGTGAACGTTGGTTCAACAAAATTCGATATCAAATTAGACACTGGGGCACAGTGAAACGTGTTGCCGGAAAGCATAGTAAAAAAAGTGAAAGGAAAAATAGAATCTTCGAATACCAAACAATTACCAGCAAACTGTCGTTATTTTACACTGCTCGACCTAAGAAGAGGGTTTTGGCAAATAAAAGTGTCGAAAAGAAGACAAGGCTATTTGACATTAGGAACCCCATGGGGAAGGTATTCTTGTTTGCGCCTCCCCTTTGGCGTAGGATCAGCACCAGAAGTTTTTCAAGAAATAATGACGGAGTTATTAAAAAATTTTGAAAATGCAGAATTTGCCATGGATGACATCCTCATCCACGCTGAAAATCGAGAAAAATTAAAAAATACTACAAAACAGGTCATAAATACTCTTCTTCAAGCCGGATTGAAACTAAAGAAAGAAAAATGCATATTTGAAGCAACTCGACTGAAATTCCTTGGGCACATAGTCTCAGCTGATGGCCTGGAAGCCAATCCAGATCGAATTGAAGCGATAAAACTTCTCAAAAATCCAAGCAATAAAGTTCAAAGATTGCTTGGTATGGTAACGTACTTGAACAAGTTTATTCCCAATATGTCGCAGCTTACAGAGCCATTGAGAGATTTATTAAAAAAGGAATCTGAATTCATATGGGAATTCAAGCAGGAACAAGCGTTCACAAAAATTAAGAAGTTACTAACACAAGCTCCTGTACTAAAACTGATGTCAATGCACCAGTACTTATTTCGACAGATGCAAGTTCAAAAAGTGTGGGAGCCGTCCTAATGCAAGACGGGCACCCAGTGGCATATGCCACAAAAGCATTGACAAAATCAGAGCAAAACTACCCGCAAATAGAAAGAGAAGCCCTCGCAATAAAATTTGCTTGTCAAAAGTTTCACGAATACATTTGTGACAAAGATCTAACCATTGAATCAGATCACAAACCATTGGAGACTATTTTTTAAAAAAGTATTGACGTAGCTCCAGCTCGATTGCGCAGAATAATTTTCGACGTTATACAATACA